AAGATAAATTAAGTACATTTAGTTATATATGCTGAAATGATTCATTCTTTCTATAAGCAAAGCCTATCCTACCTGATAACTCAGAAAGTTCCTTAGTATGCTTTACAGCCACACGCTAAAATTTCTTGAGTTCCAATGTTTGAACTCTGGCAGTCTAAAACCATTGAATCCAGTATGTTCATAGGAAAGTCAGCCAGGAAGATTAAATTTACATAAACAAATTATTCTATCAAGATCTGTCAACACCTACCTTGTCCAATCATATAAATTATCCAAACTTCCAGTTCTGCTTTCAGACATTTCTGGATATTTGATGTTTGTTGTTGGTCTGGCTATTTCTAAAATACATCTATTGGCAAATCATGTGCCTGCTTCTCTCTGTTAAAATAAGACCATAAAAATGCTAATGGGGTAATGCTGATGAGCAATACCCCATTGTTCATGATAATTGCAGTGGCATGTAAATGTACTGAAAACAGAGCAGGAAAATAAGGAGTCCACAGGATTCCATCAGAAAAGAGAGCATGGAATGTCATTTTCACAATTATGCTTCAGAATGGAATATTTAGACATTCAAGGGAATGGCACAGGAAGATCTTATTTCAAGCCATAGATCGTTTATCCTTTATATTGCCTAGATGTGTTACAGCATAGAAATGTTACCTGAAAACATACAGAACGATTTAGTTTGTGAAGTGGTTTTGTTACAAAACGACAAAGATCTTAGATTAGATCTTGCAGTCAAAGTGCTATTATTCTTGGTGATAAAGGCATAAGGTTAATGGAGGCTGAATACCAGTGAACAGCTGCAAATATTGCTGTTTGCTTGTGGCTTCTCGTATTGTGGACTGTTAAACTGTCATACATGTTTCTGCAGAGAGGTGTGGATGCTCTAAGTTTGTATGTGTTTAGGAAAGAGTCCAGAGGAGTAGAAGTCCATGAAATGCTATTAATTACAAAATTCTCACCTTTATTTCAGGAGGTCCCTGAACCACAAGTGGTAGGTGGTTGGGAGAGCAATCAGAGAGGTATAATTACATGCTGCCTTTGGTTTTATTACCAAAAGCATGGAATAGCATAGAATAGCATGGAATAGAATAGAGTAGGAGTAGAGTACAATAGTGCAATTGGAAAGGATGTACAATGCAATAGTCCAACAGCCTGACCACTTCAGGGCTGCAGTCTTATCTAATTTGCTAGCGTGTCCACTGGAGAGAGGATGACGGGCTAGACGAACCATTCTCTGGCTCTGTGTGATTTTATGTCCATTTCTTTATGACAGGTTGAACCCAGGAAACAAAAAGCAGAGAATGGACGGGGTTTATCTTACTGGCATTTAGATGCCCGCTTTGTACTTGCAGACATCTTACCTGGTTTCTAGATTCCCTTTATAACTGGTATAGAGAAGTAAACGACCAAGTGAAGCTTACTTTAGAACGTTTCTATAAGGGAACTGAATCTAGTACTGTATGTACAGAATTAGTAGTCTCATTTCCTTGTGGAATTTGGGAAGTAACAAGGTGCATATTAAAAAAAAGAAAATATATTGAAAATTCATGATTTTTCACTACACTATTTTAGATGCCATTTCTATTGGAAGTATCTCTAAAAAGATTAGGATGGTGTGGATCTTTTATAATCAGTCTTAGGTGAAAAGTCTTGTGACAGTCCCATATAGGTATGCATAAACAATAATACCCTGCTCAATTGATTTCTTGTCAGACACCTTTAATTTTATCTTGTTGAAAGTTTATGGATACATAGTATTGATATTACCATATATATACATATATCTATCTATCTATATATATATACACTTTAAAACATATTCCTGGGGTTATGTTGCATGAATCAAACATTCCAACTTTTTCATAAGATTCTCATTGTTATACAGCAGGGAAAATTATTGGTTTGCTAAGGAATATGAGCAAAAAAATATAAGAATAGTCTCACTGTTATTCTGCAAATAGCTAATATTAAATATGAAATATACTGTTTCACATACAATGCAGTACCAAATCTGTAGAATATAATTTTATTTGTTTTATTATCAAAATGATTTAATGCAAGTAGATTCCAAAAATCACTAAGGCTGAAACATAATTTTCATAATTTTCAAGACTTTGTTGAGTTGTTCATTTTACAGGTTTTGTTGCACTGTGAAATCTGTATTTGTTCCAGAGTCTGTTTCTTTCCAGAATGCATGCTTATTGTCTTACTGAGGTCATTCCACTGACTCTTTGGTATTACACCAGAAATCACCATGATGGCCTGGTACTAGCTGATCAGCAGTACTGCCCAAACTAAAATGACTGCATGCTGATCTGGCCATATCTATCTTAACACTTGGAAGTTTGTGAACTATTGGATATAGTCATGAATATTTAAAGTTTGAGGAGTTTTGTTTTGTTTTGTTTTGTTTTGTTTTTAAATGTGTCATTGGAATGGAATGAATATTTAAAAATTTAATTTAAGTCTGATCAAAAGATTATTGCTGTCTTTAGAATTACAGAAAACTTTCCCTAGTGACACATCAATATGATTTACATGGCCTGCTTTGGTGTACTAGCTGAAAGTTGAGATTCATTAGCCAACCTAGAGCATTACAAACTTTGTCTGTCATACTGATGTCCACACTTTCTGGCGTATGTGCTTTGTATTGGGAAACTCCTGAAAGCCTCAACATTTCGTTCATGATGTTTGTTCAATGAAATTATTAGGTGTGTACTTGTGTCCTTTTGCATTCAGCTAAGTAGTCAGCCCTTGTTCAGCTTTAAATATCTCACTTGTTTTCTACCTACAACTTGATCAATGTCCTTCTGAGTTGGTGGACAGTTTATAAGAGCTCAATATGTTCCTTTCTGCAGCTAAACTTTGTTTTCTAAGATATGCTTTTACAACCAAATTCGGACAAATGCAAAGGATTGCCTCTACCTTTGAATGAAGAAAGACAAGACTGGAATGTTCCGTTGTACTGAAGATAGTAGCAGATATCACAAAGACTGCAGTTGAAAATCACTGCAGCTTGTTACTTGTTTTTTTGTTGTTTTGTTTTGGCTTTTAACTTTAATAACTGATCTCTGAGATACTGCCCGATTTTTGAGGATATTGCAGAAATTTCAAGAGGAGAAAGAATTGTTTCGTCTATTGAGACTTAGTACATCATTCCTCCGTAAGTCATTCCTAGATTGATGATGCCTAAAAATATGAACTGAAAATCCATTTCAAGCATTTATTACTGTTTCAATGAAAAAGTACTTCCAAATGTCTGCTTTGATTATACTCCCACTAATTTTCATTTTTCAAAGCCCCCTTATCTTATCTATATGCTATAAAATAAAAAATAGAAGTTGACATTCCAGCATTCAGAACACATGCTTCAGCTAGGCCTTCCTAAATACTTGTATCTCTAAGTTGTATTCTCCTACTCCTGCCAGTTCTCTTACTAGAATTTAGTCAATTAATCCTAAAAAATAGCTTTGCTGACCTTCCTTAAATGTTATAATACATCTTACAATAAAAAAAAACCAATGAAAGCTTTAAACAGGAGTTTAATCAGATGAGAACTCTGCAACTATGTTACACTAGCAATTAAATAGCTAGGCATGAAAAAATGTGGGGGGTTTAGCAGTATTATTTCCAGACAATTGCAACTTTTCAATTTAATATTTTTCATGTTGTGTAAGCTGTTTGAACTTTTCTTAATACTAAATTTCTCAGAAATATGGGACTTAAAACAACTACTTCAATTTTAGGCTCATTTATTCACATGATTAAGATGTAATTTTTTTGTACATATATTGAACTGTTTTATATTTGTCTGACTAAGACTTTTTCTGGAGATTTATAGATTGTTGAGTCCTTGGAAAGATAAACAATTAAAGAGAACTGTGATCTCAGGTTTGGAAAGATAATGAATACGGTTCATCACAAGCCTGATCCTGCAAAGTATTAATCTTCTCTCTAAGCTGTGCCAGTTCCCATAAGAGCACAGATTTCTTTTGCTTGGCAAGCTGACCTATTCAGAAAGAAGTCTGGACTGCCGTGTAAAACTGTAACAGATATCTGTCGGAATAACACTTTCTTTATCATTTAAGAGGTTTTGTTTTATGTAATACTAGAGCTGTGAAAATGTGCAAATCTGCGTAAACCATTAACTGCTTGCTTACCCCATCCTTCATCTCTAAATATTGCATGAACTAAAACTGTTGTGCTTATAAGGGCTGAAGAGATACAATAACATCTTTATCAACACCCACCTAGTGTGTCATGTACTCATTTCTCAACATGAATATTCCTCATTCCCCAACAATGCAACTTCTGGATGTCCCTTACTTAAAGCATATCCCACACGGACAACCCATTTTAAATGGCAGCAAGATAAGGGAGATTTAGCAGAATACTGGATTTAACACCTGTAAGTGGCTATAATATTAACCTTTCTATTTATTACACAGAGAGATTGCAAGTCTTCACGACATTAGTCATCAAACTGCAGTTCTTACCAAACTGATGTAGTAATGTTACAGCTATTTCTATCAACCTTATATTGTTAGCAGCCACACCAAAAAAATTATTTGCAGAATTAGTCAATCTTCAAAGCCTGTCTGCAGTGCCATTTTATTAGGCTTACACATATGCATATGATTCCATCTAAAAACGTTTGTGGTCCATCCACAAATTTTAAGTTGGACCCCTTACAGGAATGACTGAGAAAGTTACATCATCCCATATAGCATGCTGTATGTTCTGGTGAAGGCTTTCTACACCAAACACACTGTTCACACGGGTAGCTTACTCCCACCTCAGGGAAAAGCTATTTCTGACACATTTGTAATGTGTGGATGTGACATGAATGCAAACTCAAATGTGGTTATGTAAACAGTGAAAGGTCATGCTTTAAAAAAGCCAGGATAGGCTGTGTTCAGTATTTTCAAGACAGCAACTGAACACATATAAGTGCCTCAAAGCATAGTAAGAGGTGTATATTTGATTTCCAGGATCAGTGGTTTTGGCGAGTCAGAAACAACAAGGTGATGGATGGATACCCCATGCAGATTACCTACTTCTGGAGGGGACTGCCTCCCAGCATTGATGCAGTTTATGAAAACAGTGAGGGGAATTTTGTCTTCTTTAAAGGTAAGAAAAGAAGAAACGTAAGATTTTTTGCAATACATTCAGCTGTGATGATTTCTTGGAACTTATCTTGCTTATTATTACTAATGATTTGTAAATCATGTTGCAGATTTGTAGCTAAATGAATAGTATCTGAATTATGTTTTCCCATCTTGACAACTACAGCTTTAACCTATGTTTACACTTCAGAGCATCAGATCATTTAAATATTCAGTAAAAATTTTGAAGTACAAACAAGAGACATAGCAGTGCACTGATCTATGGTGAAATCCTTTTTGAAAAATGGATTAGGAAGCAAGAACGAACACAGTTCCACTATGGCTTCCATTTGGGGTTTTTTTGGTGTTTCGTGGGTTGGGGTTTTTGTTTTTTTTTGTTTGTTTGTTTTTTGTTTTTTGTTTTTTTTTATGGTTCCCTTTACTCTTCTTCCTTTTTACAAATGAAATCTGCATATATTTAAGTGGCATTTGTACTACATGTATCCCACTGTACTTCACTGTACTTGTTTCATGTGAGAGCTGTGATGTTAGGAGTTTCAGGTGGAAAAAAAATTAGTATCTTTTTCACAGATGTGTATTGAGTATTTTTAAAGAAGCATAAACTCCAGAAAATATGTTGTATGGATTGAATTGTTGCTAATTAGTCTTTTCCAAGTTTCACTCGAGGCATGAGCTGTTCTTCGAAACCAAGTTTCTTAAAAATGCATCTACTTTAGATTATAGAATTAGCCTATATGTTAAATAAATACCCATTTAACAACAAAAGAATGAAAACCATGTATGTTTTATAAGATAATAATCCGGGAGGAAAAAGAAAAAACAATGTATATGAGAAAAAATATTCAGCTGTTTAGTTTTGTGAGTGATTCACTTGTTAACTCATTACAAAAAAGTAGAAAATCTTTGTTGTAAAAGTTGTAATATCAAAAATGAATTCATTTTTACAAGTGGAATCACTGAAAGGGAGACAGAAAGTATTTCATTCACTATGGAAACATCATCTTGGGAATGCTGAATGAAAAATGTTTAGTAACGTGAAGAAAAACTGCTAAACAATACAATGAAGATTGAGTTTATGTTTTACTAATAAGGAAACTGCATTTTTTGTGTGACTCATAAGGAAAATTACATTCCATATAATATGTTTTCTATTTACATTACTTGAATACAGCATATGCTTTTATTTCAGTTGTCATAATATAAACTTCATGTCATAAATTCTGGAAATTTGTTAAGATTGGAAGTCATTTAGGTACCTCCAAATCTACATCCCTTCTGATTTTGGTGTTCATGGGACATGGAGGATACAAATATTATTCTGTAGATAATCCTTTGCTCATTATTGCTGCCTAGAGCAGAATCATAGAATCCTTTAGGTTGGAAGAGACCTTTAAGATCATCAAGTCCAACCATTAAGCCATTAGGGCTCTAAAGTCCTCTGCTAAAAAAGACCAGAATCTGTCAGGGTTGGAAGGGACCACAAGGATCACCCAGTTCCAACCCCTCTCTCATAAGCAGGGACACCTCACATTAGGTCAGGCTGTCTAGAGCCTCATCCAGCCTGGCCTTAAAGACCCCCAGGGATGGAGCTTCAACCATCATGTAGGCCCCCTTAAGATACTGGAAGG